ATCCCTTTCATGAAAGAACAAAAGATTAGATGTGATACAGTTTAATTTGACAGATAATTCAGTCTAGAAAAGTATATTTCGAGATATACTGTAATAGACAAAATATTAACTTATTAACTTAATATCAACAAGTAGAGGAACCGCAGTCATTAAGCACAGTACATTAATACTAAAGAACTGCTTTTGCTTCTTACCTTGAAAACGAGGCAGGGACGATGTAAACAGATAAAATGTTTACCTCAGCTAATATTTAGATAAGATTTATTAAGAACCTTATCCCACCTCTTTCCACATTTTGTAAATAAAAAATCATCATGTCAGCTCATAACGTTTGTCTTTTGTGTTTTAATACTCTAGTTTGTTACGTTGCACTTAATTTCCTGCAAAATCACATGGCAAAGCGCTTTAATCTCAAAGTATAGTTACAAAGTCGATAAAGCAAAGAATTCAATGCCAATACATTCTCGAGTGCTTCACCTCCTTCCCAGTATTTCACATAATTTGATAATCACTAATTTATATTTAACTGTTTAACATCTTCATTAACCCTAATTATTTTATAAGGTAGTAAATATACTAAAACAGCCGGCTTACCTGACCTCCGCGGGCAATGTCACATGGTTGTACAACAGCATTTAAAGTAAACCAATCGGTATGATTGAGGCGCAGATTCAATAATACAGACAACACCGAATGTTGAAATAATACTATGAAATACGAAAATAAAAATTTAAAAATATTAAAATAATACTTTAAATACCAAAAAATAAAATGTCTCCCATGGGTTGAATTTCTAAATGAAGGGTAGTCACCACCCTTCCTAGGAGTGTCATTGACTACATCTCCCATTATGCACTTTTCTGCGCGTTTGAAAGAGGAAGTATAGGTGAGTGGTCCATGTGTTTTTTGGAAAGTAGAGCCGTATTTAGCTTTAACTTTTTAAAAACTTTTAAAGGTGTAGATGATATTGTCTTCAAATAAATATGAAGCGAAATGTTATGTGTAATACGAATAATGTAGTATTTAACAGTGACATTTCCAGACACTATATTCCTGCTCAAAAGACTGAAGCTCGTACGTGTGTTTTCTATAAACGTTTTTGGGAATGTTTAATACATTGTTTCGTGAGACTTAACAGTTTATAATGCTGTTAGCGTACGCACATTGCATGGACATATGTACCGTTTTTAGATTCAAAAGACTGTGTGTGGGTCTTAGCTTATTAATTAGGTAGGAATGAAAGTTAGACGTTTTCACTTCACTGGGAATAGTCACCATCACTTAATAACTTATGCAATTCAGGGTCACGGTGGCTTGGAGCCTGGGACGCCAGTCCATTGCAGGGCACACAGACACAAACCATTGCACTTGAGACACCAGAAGCCAATTAACCTGCCAATATGTCTTTGGACTGTGGGAGGAAACCCATGCAAAAATGGGGAGAACATACAAACTCCATGCAGATAGCACCACTGTGCTGTCTCAATGGGAATAGTCTCTGTGATAAAAATGTTCTGTACTGCACTTGACATGAGACAGTGAATGGCTTTTCTGCCTGCTTTAAAAGTTTTGATGAAGAATTCTAAAATCCTTAAGACAGAGCTAATGAGGTACTGTATACACAGACTTGTGTATAGTGAAATAAAGGGTTTATTTAGGAGTATATACACAATTCTGTGTACAGTCATAAAGTACTGGGGTTTAGCTGCTTTAGCTAATAGTTATTCTATAACTTTGAAAAAAACAGGTTGAATTTTCCATTCTTTTCAGGTTTTACAGACCTTTTTTCCATGTAACATGTCTTATCTGTCTTCTTTCTAGGACTGTAAGAGCCAACATGAGTGAAGAAGAGTTTCTCAGAGTCGTCAAAACCCATCCACTTCAGACTATCCAGGATTACCTGACACAACAAGGTGTCAACATCAACTACTGTGATGAGGTAACACAAAGAAGCCTGTTGAATTTTTAAACCTTTTTACCGGGAATAACGTTGCTAATTATTGCTTCAGACATGGATATTTGACTTTTTCTTTGTTCTACAAAGCCTAACATTTCTGTTTTGCCTCAGTTCTCCAACACTGCTCTCCACTATGCAGCCCACAATAGGAGCAGGGAAGTGGCCCGTTTGCTGGTCTGCAGTGGGGGGAATATACTACACGAAAATATGGTGGGTCTGTCTGGTTCTCTGGTCACAATTTATTTTTCACTTAGAGTGTCCTTTCTTTCAAAGTACACTTAAGGTTACAGGTAGAACAGAGCTGCCGCACTGAAATCACTGTAATGAAATGCTTCATTGCTTATTTTGAGGTTGTCACTGAGTCTAATGCAGAAATGATTCATTTTTAAAAATGTTGACCATTGGTGTCCCTGCAGGATGGACTCACTCCTATTCATTTTGCTGCCTTTGGCGGAAACATAGAGGTCCTTACAGAGCTGCTGCTGAAGGTGCCGGAGGCTGTCAATCTTCAGAGCCATAAGGTGGGGACTATTGAATATAAATGTGTGCCTTATGCACACTTTGTCCACAAGGTGGTGGTGGTGTGCCGCAGAAGTTAAAGTATAAAACAGAAAGAAGGGCTCGCTGGTACCCTGCTTTAGAGTCACTGGACCGTATGCTTGTCTTACTCTGCCCCCCCACCAGAATGTCTTAATCTTGTAATTTAAGTGAAGTCTAATATGGGGAAACAAGAGAAGGGTTTAATTGAAGACAAAAAAAATAAAAGAATACTCTTTTAATCTTACTGTCTGTTTGCAGCTTCACTCATCCTGTGGGTGATGGGGGGGTTCTAAAAGGTTTCCCAGTATAAAATCTCAGCCCACACTAACTATCTAACTCTCCATTTATGATTATGCTCAAAAAAGGCTTGCACAAACACATGTACAGTGGTGTGAAAAAGTGTTTGCCCCCTTCCTGATTTCTTATTTTTTTGCATGTTTGTCACACTGAAATGTTTCAGATCATCAAACAAATTGAAATATTAGACAAAGATAACACAAGTAAACACAAAATGCAGTTTTTAAATGAAGGTTTTTGTTATTAAGGGAAAAAAAAATCCAAACCTACATGGCCCTGTGTGAAAAAGTGACTTTTTCACACCACTGTATGTGTGGAACATTAGTCATTTCTGAGTGATTTCTGCTGTCTATATAAGTTATAATACTAAATATGCATGATCATATTTATGTTCTTATTCTTTATATTACTATATTAATCTTTATGTTCATACATGATATGTTCTTATTAAAATTATATGGAATTTGTGTGTCTCACTGTGGTCTGGCACAATAGTTTTCTGAATGCACTGTTTTTGTGGCTCAGAATCTCTCCACCCCTCTTCACGAGGCTGTGTCAGGGAAGATAGTGCAGGCTGTTGAATGTCTGTTGTCCAAAGGCGCGGACTGCAATTCTCAGAACCAGGTAATGTACTAAAATCATAAGAGGGCTTATGCCACTATACAGTACACACTTCAGTTCTCCGATATTCTCCCATACACATGGCTATGACCATGGAAATGGTGAATTTGGGCATACAGTATACTGTACCATGAAATTTGTAGGTAAGTGATGCAGACATTTTAAAACATGGTGTTGTGGATAATATTCTGGGGAGATGTTGTATTTCCAGTACTTGAGCATAGGAATCAATACCATGATGTATGGTATGAGTGAAAGACAATCGATTACACTCCACTGAGATGCATCCACAAGGCACTGTTGTTACTCAGTCGACAACCCAGACAGGTGTGTTTGTGAGTTTATACATGCTAACTTCATTACTGTTTTCTTTTTGTTGTAATGCAAGGATTTAATAGTATGTATGAGCTGCTGATTTTAGATATAACTGTGCTGTGATGTTTGACAAAATCATGTTCATATCCTTACTCCTACATGCATACTCAAAGATTGCTGTTTGCATTCTGGAATAGTTCTAAATTCTTTATGAAAATGCAAATCTACTTGTCTATAGAACTCCATTTTCTACAGAGAAAATGATGCCAGATCAGACATGACACAGACTGTAAGGTCAGCTGAAGTGAAGTGTGAGCTGTAGAGAGTGTTCAGAAAAAAATAATGCACCCTTCATGTCCAAAATACTAACAGCCCACATCAAATGATATTTTGCAAGGAGCAGGAAAAGCCTGAACAGGGTGTTGCCAGTATTCTACAGATTTCTGAAATATTTAGAGCCAAGTCAAGTCCCTTCCTAGTGTGATCCGTGTAGCAAGGTCACCATCCCTCCAGGTTGTGAAGCCAGTTATGGGGAATGGGATCACTACCTCATTGATTTGAGGTAGGGATCTTATTATTGGTGCTGTTTTAGACACTTTACCAGCTAATTGCCTGTTTTTAATCTTAAGATACTCAGTTGAGTTCTGACTGAGCAATGTTGTTTTGTATCATGGTTTTGTACTGTTGCAGTACTGTTTTATTGTCACATATTGTATGTTATATGATAAGAACTCTTGATGTGCAGGACAGATTCCCTTTGGGGTAATAAAGGCTGATTCAGTTTAATTCAGATCAACAGCACATCCCGCTAGTTCTTTCAGTTTTCAGTAGGGTTCAGATCTGGGGGCTGTTCTGACTGAGAAAGGTGACAGAAGTCTATCTGGTGTTCTTCAAGTCAGCGACGCATCACCTGCCACTCTGTGAGTCAGATTATTTGACCGGAGACGGAGTTTGATGATATTTTGTCATAGTGACTTATCAGCTGTCTGCATGATTTCTGCTTTTGTGTCAGAAACACAATTTAATGTATTTGTAGAATGGTGACACTCCACTCCATCTTGCGGTCTCTCAGAATTCCGAACACATCTGTTGTTTACTTCTGCGACACGGAGCCAATGTACTGCTGAGGAATAAGGTACTTAATCTACGAACCAGTTTGTTTATTCAGCAATGAGTCATACTGGCTCCAGTAAATATCAGGAATGGTGTTGGAGCCATTATAAACACATCTGAAATAATATGAAATAAATCCAGAAAATGGCTTTACAAAAAACAAATTAAAATGACCTTTATTATGTTACTTCCATGTGAGTTGTGCACAGCAGCTTCTAAATGATTTTGTAGACTTAGTGTATATTGTGATCTGTCGACTGATAATATTCACATTTTCCTTCTTCATTTATAACTACTGCCCTTCATTCTTAGTTTACCTTTATTTTTCGTCAATCCCATTCTTAAAATTTCTCTCCTAAGTGACAGTAGAGAGAACTGAAGTCTGGATGTTTTTACCCAGATGTTGGGCAAGGTATTTTCCGTTATTAAGGTTAATTAAGTGAATATATTTACAAACTTTATTGTCCCAGCTTCACTAATCTCTAAATTTGTAACATTGAATTATCATTTGTTTAATTACATGACATTTTGTGCTTGAGAATTTTTTACCATTTTTAAAACGGTGATGGTGCCTCAGTCCTCTTCTCTCACTCTCAGAGAGGGGACACCTGTCTGCACTCTGCAGCTGCCAGAGGGGCGCTGTCCATCTGTCAGATGCTGGTTCGGAATGGGGCTTCCATGCAGGCAAAAAACAAAGTAAGCAGTTGCTTTTATATTAACATTAATAATCAATTCATTTTTTTTGCTTTTTTTATTGTTCACAGTGTCTAGAGCATGTGATGTGTCAAACTGAACACTCAGATGTTTTTTACTACCTTCTGCACATGCAAGATCTTGTGTGTCTATATTATTAAATGTGCCAGGAGTTTTCCGAGTCTTGGGTTTTATCGAAATCTGTTGAGTTTTGTAATTTCATTTTCTGCTTCGTTAATTTATTCATCCTCCTATTTTAGTATCATTTCCAAATGTGGCTAGTTAACTATACCACAGTCTAAATCTTTGATAGACATTAAGAAGACTATTGGTTCTAGTATATATCCCTGTGGTATGCCACAAATAAAATCACCCCAATTTCACTTTAGGTTAATGGAAAACAACCTTCCTTGACTGCAAGAGATACACTGTTAATCAATAAAGTGAATGTAGGGTGGTGGTTTTAGTTGAGTACGTCTGTGTTAAAAGATGCTTAATGCATGAATGTGAACTACTTTAATGCATAAAATTTTGTGATGCCTGATCCTCCTGAGTTTAAGGTGCAATTAATTTAATCAGTCTAACTAATGGGTTTCCCTCTTCTAATTCTAGATAAAATTAGTTTTATTTCCCAAACTATCTAAATTAAAAGCTTGAAATCTCTAGTTTCAATATCTAAGCTGCCTTTCAGTTGATTTTCACCTTTAACCCTTTACAGTTACAGAAAATCTTTGTTTTAGAGCAGGGTTTTCAAAATTCTCTAGTAAGTTAATTGTTGCGCAGAGTTTTTTTTGTGTATATTGATGCAAATCTACATTATAATGGCCAGCATTTTGTTGCAAATCAACATTAGTAACTTTAAGAGAGTATTGTGAAAGAACAGGGAAAGGAACAGTTACCCTCTACAGTTATTGATTTTACCAAGCTTGCATATGTTAAAACATTAAAGAAAAAATAATGCATGATTATTGAAAATTGAAACATTTTCAGATCATAAACCATCATGAGTTTTACCCCGAAGAGAACAAACTTTCTTCTTAGCTGTTCTGATTAGGACAACATCCCACCTATTGCAAAAATACATAAGAGATTTATATTTGGCTTCACTTTTTTTCTAATGGATAATAGAACACATCTGACCTCAAACATATGGAGTTATGGATGGTTGAATCCTTACATTTCTGTCCATTTTATCTTGGAACAGAATTCTGAGACAGCTCTTTTCAGTGCTGTGAGGGGCACAGGTAATAAGAACGGAGATGATTACTGTGAATTGCTCAGCTGGATGGTAGAAGAGTTGGGTCCATGTTTATTATACAGGAACAAGGTAAGTCATTTACACAGTGGTGGTTTCATGATATATACATGTCTACAACTTCATACTCTTGATGTCTATTACATAATAGAAAATCAAGAACCCTTGTCCTTCCAACCAAGAAATTGTAAAGCATGCACTTTTTGAGTCTAAAGATTATCTAGGGTTGCTCCTGTTCATGTTCTGTAATGAAACAGAAACCACTTTGCCTTACTCGCGTTACCATGTCAAGCACAAAAAGTTGTAATTGTTATCATTTTTTCCTGCACTTTTGTGTCCTGCTTCTATAACAGGATGGGCTGAGAGTGTTAGATGTGGCCAGACAGAGTAATCTTCCTTCCAAGTCTGAAGTTCTGCTCCAGCAAAAAACTCAGGTTATTTTTTTCTTCATAAAAGTGGAGGTGGGGGTGAACACGGGCGACTCGCACTAAGATGTGTGTTGCCATAGCCACTTGAGAGCTGTGGAATTCCAGGGAGTGGGGAGTAACGTGTGAGCAGCACCTCAGCCATGGTGACAAAACATATATAAATCTGTGAGTCATCCTTGCGTCTCCAACCGCTAGCACAGTCCAGATAAGTGGCACCAATTAAACAACAATTCTCTACTTCACGTGGGATGTTCGTTTTACAAAGAATGTCATGCAGCTTGTTTGGAGTTACCAGTCACTGTATTATTTTAATGGTCTGCCACTGAATTTCCTCAACCTGCTGTATTATAGAGAGATAATGGGAGATGATGTGCATACTGTGTATGCATGTATGAGATGACTGACTTCAGTGTAATGTACGACAAAACCATCCTTCGTTATCGAGAGTAATGATCCCCTATGTCCTCTGCAACTGTTAATCAATAATATCTAGGTCATTTGTCTTAATTAAATACTGCTTTCTGGACCCTGCTGAGTTAAAATTAACAGTGTTGACATGGGATTAGTGTATATACAATACAGCAAGGCCTGATACAGACATTCACATGGAAGGTATACTGTATAATTTGTGAAAAAACTGTGCAATTCCACTACGTCTAGTTTTTTTGTTTTAATTTGTCATGCCTCTGTATATCAAGTAATCACTGCTTCTGTATGTGGGCAGTCTTTTTGCTGAACTGCTTTATTTTGTACATTTTATGTTTCTTTACAGTCAATATTTTTTGTAAACATTTTCCTCCTTAGTGTTCTGAAAAGAAGAGTTTAAAACCATCTGCTTCATGCTCAATGACTGCAAGCACTTGGTTGTGTCTGACCTGTGTCTGAGATTATTCCGAGAAATATATTTTGCTTGTGCTCCTTGCAGGAGCTGCAGATCAGGGATCTCCTGAAGGAGAGTAAACCAATTGATCGACGAGTGGCAAAGCTGTGCATTTGTGGACACTCTGGAGTAGGAAAGACTACACTTGCAAAGACACTGCAGCAGCAGCAGGTAATGGAGTCGGAACGATGAGCAGGAATGTAGCAATGGTAATGGAGTGTTGGTTTAATTGCACTCTTGGGTATAAAAATTAGTGTATAGGGTGTATAAGAAGTTTGAGGTCACGTAGATCTCAGAGGTGGAGGTAATCCTCTGTCAGTAAAGGATTTTATACTGAGTGCAAAAAATTAGCTGTTCCAGAAAGTTGTCTAGGGTTTAGTTAGGGCTTATGTGAGCTAGGTATTCTGTTTTTGTTTGTGTATAAAAGACAACTAAAGCCAGGAAATGTCCCAGGGCTTTAATTTACACTGTGGTCCGTGTAGATTTATGTGTGAAGCTTGTCGCAGCTAAGCTGATACACAAGAGGATTGTCTGCAGTGCACTAAAGGTTTTCACTTGTTTCACTGACAGTCATTTTGATGTCATTATTTCAAATGAATTAAAACTTTCCCTCGTTGTTTACTGATTGTTCTTTTTATTTCTAGGATGGATTTCTATCCAAGTTCCAGTACTGGTTTAGCAGACCAGATCCACCTTCTTCTACCCAGGGTGTTGCCATTACCGAGGGTAACCTTTCAGGTAATATAGTCTCATAAACTGAGTTTCTTTTTGCTATTGAAAGAAACAGAGTAAATTCTTAAGGAAAGAAATCAATCTTGTGTACTGATAAATATTGGAGGTATACGATATCTCCAATATTTTATCTATCCTTCCCTTTTCTAACCACGTTATCTAGTTCGGGATCTTGAGTAGCCAGAGCATATCCCAAGAAGCACTGGGCTCAAGGCAGGACACAAGTCCATTGCTGGGAACACAGACACAGTTATCCACACTCACAGCAGGGCCAGGTTTCCCAGAAGCCAGTGAATCTAGAGTACCATTAGGTTTTTGTTTTGGACTGTGGAAGGAAACAGGAGCACTTGGAAGAAACCCATGGGAACAAGATACAAACTCCATGCAGATAGAATCCCAGGGATTAAACCCATGGCCCCAGTGCTCTGAAGCTACAATGCAAACCGCTGGCCCTATTTTATCTATGTATGATAAAATACACTGTATATTAAAAGGTCAATATTCCATGGTACATTTCTGTGTCACTAGAAAAATAGTCCTTTGTTGTCTGAATATTTTGTGTTTGTATCTGGTTTCAGTACTGTTGGAAATTATAAAATGTGTCTGTTTGATATCAGGAGTCATATATAATGCATTATGCTTTAAAGATTCTGTATGTTTATTTGCTTTTGTTGTAAAAAAACAGTTCTTTACACCTATTAGCAAGACATTCTTTAAATAATTGTAGAAATTAGCTATACAATAATACCGTGTGTTTATATCATGCTGAAGTGAAACAACCGCTGTGTTAGTAGTCAACAGCTCTCTTGCTAAGCAGAACATTAACAAGATGGAGAAGTAAAAAGCTGGTCAAAAAAGTTTCAGTTGTTTTTGAAGAATGATTGACAGGAGACTGGTTTGTTGGACATGCATGTTGGACATGCATTTTGTAATGTTTGGGGAAAAGCTTATTTTCTTTACCTGTTGTTAATGTAAGGGCCTGCCTTGCTGTGCCTTTAGTCTGTATTTCTCTTCAACTCCAAATTTCTGTTAGAATTCAATGACTTTAAACAATCAGTGAAATTACACAATTAGATTTTAATAATATTTTTAAGACAATTGATCATTGTATATCTGAGAATATGACTGACCAAGCTAGCCAAGTGTTGAAATAAGTTAGATTTCCTGTCCTTTTTTATGGTTGAAATATATTTTATGACTGTTTAATTTAAGTGTTTTCTGTTCTTCTTGACTTTTAGATACTGCATTTCTTGGGGTCTGTGTAAAAAGGCTAAATGAATGAGGTATAGGAAGGTTTGACAAAATTAAACAGGTGTCCATTAAAACAGCTGTGAATTTCTGACATTGAAAGGCTTTCATGTAAGTGTTAAGGGATGCTAGGAAGGAGAATTAACAAAGCATGAAATATATAAGCCTGAAAGCGAAATATAAAGGGGATTAAAGTCACTTGAAGTTTATTTATACTGATATCAGCATGAAGTGTTACAGATGGTGTCAGAAATGTAAGAGTATGTCAGACATCATTAGAAAACTGAAGGATGCTCACTGAAGGGGTGTGGTATCAGCTCAGTCAGTTCTTTATCATGGAGGGAAGGAAGAGGAAACCTGCTCTTTCGTTTGTGCAGACCTGTGCATCACACAAATGCTTAAATAAAGAAAAAATGTGTCACAACCTCTAGTCTGGGTTCTGAGTAGGCAGATCTGTCAACATGTCATGTCATTGCAGATCTGCATCTGCTAAAGTAGCCCAGATAAGCAGCAGCTGCCAACTCTGATTAACTGAGCACAAAAGGAACAGGTGACTGTCTCCAACAGCCCAACCCATCAAGGAAAGCATCCAAAGTCCAGTGCACTTTCGCCAGTTCACTTTTTGTAGTCTATTTTTTAGAATCATTTTGCTCTATGTATGACACATTAATTGAATTGTCTACTACCCTAGAAAAAAAAAACTTAACCTAAGGAGATTTTGAATTATGATTTCTGTTTTCCATTTTATATAAAATAACACCTCCACTAAACATGATTTCCTTTTTTTGCCATAACAGGAGCAACATATTTCCAGAACTGTATTAATGTTATTTTCCTAGAGAAAAAACAGTCAACTCATGAAGAAGGCTTAAAAAGTGTTTATTTATGGAAGCACAGGGCACAAAGTGGGACTGAGAGCATGCAACTGGTGCCCCCTGGTGAGGGCTCCAGGCCATTGCAGGGCCATGGTGAAAGAAAGTTAGAGTAGACAATTCCTTAGTTCCTTTAGGTCTCTCGGAAGTGTAAGGAAACTGAAGCACCTGAAGTAAACCCATGCTACCATGAACAGAACATGCAGACTCTGCATAAGCAGATGCCCAAGGCAAGAACTGGTATTTCATGTTGCTTCCCTTCATACGTTATGATGCTAAAAATGACTCTTTGATCCAGTTTGAATTATAATAATAATTGCTTACACTTATAAAGTGCTTTTTCTGGACACTCCACTCAAAGCACTTTACAAGTAATGGGGACTCCCCTCCACCACCACCAATGTGCAGCATCCACCTGGATGATGCAACGGCAGCCATAGTGCGTCAGAACGCTCACCACACATTAGCTATCAGTGGGGAGGAGAGCAGAGTAATGTAGCCAATTCATAGAGGGGGATTATTGGGAGGCCATGATTGGTAAGGGCGAATGGGAAATTGGGCCAGGACAACGGGTAACACCCCTAGTCTTTTTAAGATACGCCCTGGGATTTTTAATGACCACAGAGAGTCAGGACCTCGGTTTTACGTCTCATCCCCGTCACTATACTGGGGCATTAGGACCCACATGAACTGCAGGGTGAGCGCCACCTGCTGGCCCCACTAACACCTCTTCCAGCAGCAACCTTAGTTTTTTCCCCAGGAGGTCTCCCATCCAGGTACTGACCAGGCTCACACCTGCTTAGCTTCAGTGGGTTGCCCGTTGTGAGTTGCAGGGTGATATGGCTGCTGACAAATATCAGCAGCCACAAATACACAACAATTATTTGTTGCTTTGTGTTTTAATCACAGCAGGGAAAGTGGTGATCTGGGACTTTGCTGGACAGATGGAGTATTACTTCACACACTCCCTGCTGTTGTCAACAGAGAGTGGGAATGTTCTTTACTGCATTGTCTTCAGCCTGGAGAACATTCAGTGTGACAAGGGTGGCACTCAGTCTGAAGCTCTGAAGCAGGTAAAGTGGGCACAAAACGTTCTAAGGACATACTGTACAGATAGAAATTTTAGCACTCAATAGAAATAGTGGCTTTCAATACAAATAATTTTCATACTATACTATATTTTAAAATATGGGAAGAAAAAGCTATGCAAACACATAATGTTTTCTGGACAACTGCTTCTTAGTGTTGCTTAAGTGCTTAGTGGGGCGGTGCGGTGGCTCTGTGGGTAAGGATCTGCCCCTCTGGCTGGAAGGTTGCCAGTTTGTATCCCATGGCTGGCAGAGGAATCCTACTCCGTTGGGCCCCTGAGTTAGGCCCTTAACCTCAACTGCTACAGGGGTGCCGTATAAATGGCTGACCCTGTGCTCTGACCCCAAGCTTCTCTCCCTGTCTGTGTGTCTCAATGAAAGACAAATTCCTAATACAAGAAATTGTACAGTATGTTGCCAATAAAGTGAACTGATCGATTCTTAAGAACCAAGATGTCCAGTTAATGCAATTCACAAAACAGTCCTATGATTTTCCACCGTCCAAGACAAAAAATAATAATAATCCAAATTGGGTATAGTACCAAATATGCATGCATGTAGTCAGAACTCTGAAAACCGTTATTTTGACTGAACACATATTTACTTTTCCTGCATTCTGTAGGTGTTGTATTGGCTGCGGTTTCTAAATGTCTGCAGGAACAGCGGTGTTGCACACAAAGCCAAGGTGTTCCTTGTCGGCAGTCACAAGGATACACTGGAAATTGAGTGCAAAGACGAAGTTGGTAAGCTGGCAGTATGACTTAAGAGTGCAAATATGTATGTGTGTGTGACAGGTTTAGAATAGTTTGTATACAAAATGTCTAAATTGATTTGGCAGAGTGGCAGCTGTTGCCAGTATAACTGTTAAAATTACCAAGCGACCATTAAATTAAAATTAAAATATCTTAACAGCTAAAGACAACATTGTGATTGGCCTATACATTTTGTTACACTAAATACATTTCATGAATTTTGACAAAATGATTCATTCTTACAGCTGTTGCACTCGAAAATAGAACACTGCAATAAAGTGAAATGCTGAAAGTGATCTGAGATTGACTGATTTGACCAATTCTGTCCAGGCTTGTCTTCCATTGCTGTCCATTTGCTTCTAAAACAAAAAAAGGTTATGAAGCGGTTATTTTTAACATTTTGGTTCTACAAATTGACACCTATATACTGTGCAGTTTTGTTTCATTCTGATTCAATTGAAGTACCATTACATTTCAGTGTTTTCTGATCATGCCATACAAAAAGTACATGCTCATTTGCTACAAGTTTAGAAGATGCTGCAACTTGTTAAAAGAGTAAAAGAACTTGTTAAATGTCAGTGCTTGTTCTCAAATACCACATTGTTTTCATTATCTGCAGCTGAAATCACCTAATTTCTTCATGGTCCAAGCTTATCATAGCTGTTTAAATGCAGTACAGTATGTGCTGAATATCAAAAGAAACTCATGAACTCTGTTCATACTGTACATGTGTGTCTTTAGAAAAACAAAATAAACTGATTTACTGAATTTTGACTGAATTAGAGAGTTGGTTGAGCACAGATGATGAGGTGATTTAACCCAATGTAAATCAATAAAGCAAAACACAGTAAAGAACCAAGTATGTTGGAGGCCGGACTAAGTCACCTCAGGTGGACTCACCAGCAATTGATCTAAAGTCCTCTTTAATGGTGAATAAAAGTTGTGTGTAGACCGCCCTTATGGGCATGAGCAAGTGTAGTGCCGGGTTTCTGAACTATACACTAATTATTGTGTATAAGACCAATGAATGGGCATTTCTGAATGTCGGAGTGGGCGGGGGGTCTGTAGGTACTACAACTTGCTGAGATTGGGATTCTGACTGCGTAACGCTACATTAACCAAGTCCTGGGGCTTCACCTGCTGCCCTTCCTGCGGACTCATCCTGATGTGACAGCATTCCAGCAGGACCATGCATGCCTTCATGCTGCTCCCTTAACGGATTTCTTGTGAGCCGAGAATTTGACAAAATGCGCAGTGGACAGACACCCTGCTTGCCAGACTTGAGCCGTTTTGAGGATTTGTGGGAAGAGCTGGGGTGTGGCATATAGGGTGCAGAGACCAGAGAAAAGGCATGGGCTTGTGTTGGCACTATGAGAGGAATGGGACAGGAACCCACAAGACAGCATCTGGAACCTGGTGCAAAGAATATGTAGTACTGTAGATTGCTTGTGTTGCTTCCATCAGTGGCTACACATGCTACTAGCTTGTGACATTCCTGGTGCACCCTTAATTGATGACAAATGTTAATCAGCATAATGAATTTGCCTGCATTAAAATGTCAGGGCACCTGCTGCAGGAACAAAAAGTGATCATTTTCCTGTTAATAACTCATCTGCGGCTGAAAGTGGTACTTCAATTTTCTTCTGATACTTAGTATATATTGAGCTGAATAAATGGATAATTTTATTATAAAAAATAGGGATTTTAGATTATTTGTTGTTTGCCTATGAATGACTTAATCTTGTGTATGTGTTTACATTTTTACAAAATTGGAAGTGATTTTGCACAGTTAAATATGCAGTGAAATATAAATAGGTAAATATACACTTATGTACTATATATATTGCTTTCTTTTTTTCTCATATCAGTAGCCTGATGTTCTTGTAATCCCAAAGATTGTTTTAAGGTTCACATTGTGTTGTTAATGATAACCTCTATTATTTAATACAAAAATTAAAATTATCCATGCTATTTCTGCTTCTTTGTATTTCAGTGAACCATTTCTTTGATATTGTGCAGAGCCGTGTGAGAGAACTGGGCACTAACCTGGATATTGACACAACAGTGCTGAGTGTGAACTGTAAATCTCCCAGTGATCTGCAGACACTCAGAAAGAGGTTGGAGGAGTGTGTGGCACAGCTACAGCAGGTTGGCAGCATGACTGGGGCTACTATACACATACTGTACTTACAAGGACCCTTAACAGATTGGCCTGGCAGTTTCACTTGGTGTTTAAAGCTGTTACATGAAGCTCAGTTTCACTTTTGCATTATAGCGTTATTCAGCCAGATACAAATATCTGCACACCCACCTGCATTATTGGTGCAGAATATTTTACTGATTCACACTGAAACTGAGGCCTCCTAGGAACAAGGTTATATTCGCCAATAAAACAAAGTGGGCTGTAATGGCAAAATGGACTTCTCCCACTTGTCACGTTTCTTCTGTCTGCAGGACAAATGATATTCCATCAGAATAACTAGAGATAATAATACAAATTGAAAAGTTGAAAAACATTTTAATTTGCATGAAAATTGTGTTTTGGAATTAAGTATAGGCCTGTAGTTCTAAACCTAGACATTAGCTGGAGATTAAGTTTAATGACTGTATTCATACAGTAAATTGTTCAGGTAATGTGACTTAAATTAAGTTTACTTGCTTATTCCTTATTTGTTCTCTTTGTTAATGGAATAATATGGAGTTAAAAAGACAGGGTGTGCTTACTGGTGAGCATCTTTGTGTTTCATGTTTACATACATGTAAAAAAGAAATTAATGAGTAATATCTAAATTCGTAAACATAAGTTAACCTTTATGTTAACAATTCCTTTCAGGTAGTGATCATGGATGAGCAAAATGTCTTTATTGATCATTTTTAAAATAATTGTTCATTTTGGCTGCTCAAGCAACACAAACCTGAAGGATTAATGTTTCTTATACTGTATATGGGGCATCAAACGAAACATAACATTAATAACTGCAACAGATTTACAAAGGTGTCATGATGAAAATGACAATCTTTTTTTCTGACATTTTGTGGAACAGACCTGCTGCTGGGACGTCCATTATGCTGATGAACATCTGTCATCAGCAAGGGGTCTAATGTGAAAATAACAGGCTTGTAATGTGTGGCCACTGTTGAAGAAATGCATCCTGTACATCTGCACCACATGCTTTGCACCAGGTTGCAGATACTGTGTTGTGGGATTCTGTCCCATTTCCATCTGCTGAAGTCTGGCAGAGAGGTCGTCCTTGGCTTAACTGTCACATTTTCATTTCACAAGAAAGGCGTTGTTAAATGAACAGGATAAGGATGTGCGTAGTCCTGCAGGAATGTTTTAGTGTCAAGTTGAGCCTAAAGGAAGACAAACAAGTGAAGTACCAGATTCATTCAAAGCAGTGCTGTGTGTTCATATTGCCATCTCGTATTAGTTCTGTTGCAACTTGACACACTTGGACCTCCCCGTCATTCTTTTTGAAGTGTCATGACTCCTTGTCTTCTAAATCGTGGCCTTTCATTGATGGACTACATTTGTCTGTTAAATCTTGATAGGTTGGAAATTGTTGGAGGTTTAACCCTTCCGAGGGTGAGCAACAGACTGCAGACTTAGTCCAGATCCCAACATACTTAAAAGCACAAAAGTGTTTGCTGATAAATGGTATTGATATTGGTTCCTTTCTGTGCTGTTCTCAATTTTCACAAATTTCTCAGGTTAAATCATCTCATCAGCTGTGTTGTGTCAGATCAACTCTTACTAAATGAGGCAAATAAGTGCTTATGCTGCAGTCACTGGAGTGTATCGTGGTCGGTCATGTATGAGCAGTTATCCCAAGGGAAGTGAAAAATATTTAATCAATATCCAAAATCCATATACATTATTTAAAAAAAAACATACATGAATGAATAATGCTCATCATATACTGTAAATTATGTCATTGTTTTTTTATTTTAATATATCTGGCAGTGACTACTCTGTTTTTCTGTAATTCTTTAAAATTTAGCTTGCAACCTTGGATAAAACAGCTCTTCCAAGGTCTTAGAATTGAAGATGCGGAGGTGGATAAAAGCACTCTTTCTGCAACCCACTTGAAACATCGTCTTTCTCTTACTTAAACTAGGTGTTCATTCAATTTCTTTACAGTATTTTTGCTTTTTACATTTAACCTTCCTAGAAACGGAAACCTGGCCCTCCATTCCCTCAGTATTGTCTGACCTATTTTTACTGGTATATTTAGTCCAGGCAGCTGTGAAGTATGGCAAGTTTGGTTTATCAAAAACTTTTAAACCTCCTTTGTGGCAGTAGATATTGAGAAAGTGTGCAATTGCAGAAAGAGACTATGTAAATGTAAAACTATTCATGTAATTAGCTTGCTGGGTGGTCAAATAAAATGTCTTTACTATGAATCTCTTCAGTTCTCCTCATTATACTTTCCTAAATTCCTGAAAGGAGAAATGTCCTGGCATATGTTAGTTAAAGGGGAACTGCAATGCTGTTTTTATATTTTGAGGTTGGAAAGAATCAGCATTGATAAGTGTATTTCAAATCACAGTAAAAGTAAAATGTACACATTAACTTGTAAAACTTTACAAAATTTACAAAATAACCGACATTTTCAGGAATGCACGGTGATTCATGTTCTGTGATTCAGAACCAGGCAACAAAACCTCCAGTGAGGTGAACCGGCTCTTTTACATTGTAAACAAGCAGGTTTGTGAATACATCTCTTTTAATCAAATAGAATTATTGCTCTTGATTTTGAGACGGTTTTGCTGACAAATACTACTAATTTCTTAACTCTGCATGCAGATCACATTGTAACATTTTGTGGTGAAATGGCTGTTGCACAACCTGTACTTATGTGCTCATATAGAACATCACATTACATTACTCATTATAGTGACTAGTGAGCAGGAAGGGCTGCATCACGTTGCAATTCTTGTGAACTCGAATGCGAGTTTGCGACAACATGACGACTTGCAGTATTTTCATAAAGGTCAGGATTTTGTGCTTAATTCAAATTTTCGTTATAATTTTCTATAACATCAGTGAATATAGTTTGTTACCAAGATTTAATAACCACTTTAAAAAATTGAGACTGCAGTTCTCCTTAAAAAGACTTCAATTTCAAAATTACAATCACATTATTATGGTGATGTTTCCCTTATTTCTCCATTTTATCTAAATATTTCTGTTTTTACAGCTTTACATTATTTACATAAAGTCTTTGTTCACATTAATCATTATTTTTTAACCTTTTCTATTTGGGGTTTTCTGATTAAGTAAAACATTTTTCATGTTCTGGAAATTAGATGCTCTTTACATTTGAAAGATGGCCTTTTACTGCACAGACTCAGAATCAATTTGCATGATTTTAACAAATCTGAAAAAATCTTATGCTAAGTTATTATTCTTACAAGGTATACTAAATTCTTTATATTTGGTTTTATTTTAATGTTTGGTACTTTGATTCAGTTTGTTTTTATGATATGTGATACCTGCTTTTTTCTTTCAGAGTACAACAGACACCAAATTTCCTGGAATATGCTGTGAAGTTTTGGATGAAATCCATACCATCAGATGTAATGGTAGTGTAAGTGACTCAAGTCAGTTTATAATCTTTTAATTGTACTTGAAGGTGATAACATTTACATTTTAGGGTGATTTATCCTTTGATCAGGAGAGGTTTTTAAAATTTGTAGTTTTTTTGTCAAATGACATCCTCATCCCATGCAACTTGGAAGTCTCATTAAGCAAAGGTCTTACCAAAAGATTTTCACGGGGATATTACATTTTGTGTGTCTGAAATTAATTATGTACTTACTCTTTTCAGGAAATTCTAAGGAGGTCTGACCATCTTAGTGACACATTAGACATCTGGATTACTAGTGTAGGATTGCTTGGCAAATGTGCCTGTTTTGGGCAGACTTACAGTAAGCACTGATATGCAAGCCAGTAGCATAGATACAGTACTTCAAAAGTGAGGAAAAACTGTTTTCTGTGTTCTGTTAAGTGTCTGAATAAGATCAAAACAAGATACAGCGGAGTTAAATTCAGCAAAGAAACAAATGTTAATACAGAGATCCTAATCTATGTTATGGCAAAATGTTTGTTGCCCATATGGGACTGTGGTGTCACCAGTGGCGCTGTGTTGTAGTATAAGGAGCTGGGAAGCCTGACTCTTTCATCACAGCTGTTCAGTACTTCTCCACACTGATGAGTAGCCAGGTGCACTGATGTCAATTAATAGCATTAGCATATTTTGTTTAGCATTTTTCCTCCTTGAAACAATAGTAGCATAGCTTATATGCAGTCATGCTTAACTCTTTTAGTGAAACATAATATGCATGATGTACTGACATAGAATATTTGGTTTTTATAACTCATTATTATTTTATTGTAGGTAAAGTACTTGCTGTGGGGTGATTTCTTTGCTTCCATCAACAAGAACAGGTTTGAAAAAATTAGTGTTGAAACACTGAGGACTGCTGTGGAATACCTTCATAATGTTTCAGAGGTGATTGGAATAATATCTTCAATAACATACAGTATATATGATGGCATTTGCATTTCATACTTAAAGCCAATATTGTCTTATGGTTAGCAATGAATCAGTGTTGTCCTCCACACAAAATACATTGAGGAAAGCTGGCATCTAAAAATCATGTCTGTGAAGGTTAATATATGGAATGGGAAAGAAAATAGAGTACATTAGAAAACTGGAACTGTCCTAGTCAGGACTGAGGGTGTTTTAAGTACTTGCTATAGAAACATACACTACGGAATAATAATTGATTGATTCACTGATATCCTAAGTTTACAGCATACAGCTATATCCATACTACATCTGCCAACTATTTCAGCTATTTCTAAATACAGTATGGTCTCAACATTTGCAACGGTTCGGTGCTGCTTTTAAATGTGGGCACTTGGGCAGGGGATGGAGAGAGGCTCACTAGCTAGAGTTGTCTCATAATCCTAGTGAGTTGCACAGCTCATTTTAAAGTTATGCTTAACGGCCTTTGGTTATATCTCCTCTGCTCTTCTTCCATACAAGATCCCCTCGGCCAAACCGAATTGCGAGTAAGCAAATTTGCTAATGTTAAATTTGGAGGTCTCCTACTGTAGTTATTTTTAAAAGTAGTCTTTAAAGTATTTCTGGGATTCAAAAACATAACTGGTGTGTATTATCAATAGTATTGCATGAATGCATTGTTTTTCTCTCTGTGCAGTTGCTTTTTTTCCCCACTGTTACTGTGGATGGACCAACACAGTCTGCTGAATCTGGGACAGGCAATGGCTTGGTCATTCTTGATGTCCAGTGGTTATGCCAGGACATCTTTGGCAAGTTTGGCCATTTTGCTCTCTCCACACTACCATTGCAGCGAGAGAAATGGACCACTGAAAACATAGCATCCTTATTAAATCTCGAAGATTCTCCAAGCACGGTCTTGAGGTTACTTGAAATCCTGGAGCTAGTCTTCAGCGAAAAGGAAGGGCAATACATAGTCCCGGCATGGCTTAATAAAGGGAGGCCTGCGAACATATGGGAGAGAGAGGAAGTCTTTAATGTCTACCATGGAGTGTCCTTTGGGTGGCAGAGTGAGTTGGGCCTCTTCTCCCAGGCTTTCTTCTGCAGACTTCAGCTGAGGCTGATGAAGCTTTTCACTCAGACCACAGAGGACGGGGCCTCAGCCGAAAAGTTCATCATTTGGACAGATGGGATGAAGTGCATCGACACCGCGGAGGCTCTTGTGCAGGTATCTGCTGGCCGCGGATCCATCAACATAGCAGTCAGAGGCTACAAACCTCAGAGGAGTGGGAGCAGGTATCCAGACACTCGCCGAAAGTGTTACGAGTTGCAGAACGTGATTTCCTGTCAAGTGCAGCACTTGCTGCAGGAGTTCAAGGTGGGTAGTGAATGTGAGATGCTGTTCTTGAGCTCCAAGGACCTACTGGACAAGATGGATGCATCTGATGTTGACATAACAGCTTATACAAAAGATGAAATCTTACTGAGCGCGCGGAGTGGGAGGAACCTTTATTCAAAACTTAAAGGCAGGGAGGAATACCTCCATGATGTGTTGTTAGCTGGGTATGACCAAACCATCCTTCAGAGCTTGAAGTGGGAGGCTACCATCCAGTGGATGACGGCCGAGTGCACCGAGAAACTCTGTGCCCTTCTAGATCCTGTGCACCCCCTTGGGAATTATTGGAAGCGCCTCATGGAGGCTCTCGAGGACTGTACATATGAAAATGTCGAGGCTTTGGCCACACAGTCTGAGCAGGCATGGGTATCACCCACTCTTCTTTTGTTTCAGAAGCATTGCCACACAACAATATACAGCTTGTATAAAGCCTTTGAGAAACTAGAAAGAGAAGACTGTATGAGCCATGTTGAAATAATGCTTAATAACATACGCTAGGCTCAACTAGGTACAAGCACACTCTGCAATAGAAGACTGTCAAACCAGTGCAAAACCGTAAATCTCACTTCCATAGCACTGAGAAACACTACTTGTTGCATAAGTAATGAATTGTCATAAATGAAAGAATATCAAGGAAAAGCTCTTTACTGTTCAAAATATCTGAATATTATTTGAAGATTAGCGTAGAGGATTATTTGTTACAAAAATATTTTATTTTTCTAAAATAGGAATACCTCTCGGATCAAATATTAGATATATTTCTTATGTATACTTGTGCACAATTTCTTTTAAATCTCATTGAGGTCAGTTTTCTAATTCAAATTAATATTGTGCACACTCCAAACTATACATTCTTGTACAAATATATCTACATATTATGAAGTACAGTATAATGTAATTTTGTCTGTTGGGAGAAATATGATTTCAGTTTTAATCTCTATAGAAGGCAGTAAAGTCCAAATTTACATTTAGTCTTTGTTTTAAGATGAGTGAGCTAAAATAATTACTTTTTTCTTCTTAACAGATTTAAATAATCTCTCATTGAAATGCACTTTTTATTTAATGTAAGGCATGTGTGATCTTACCTTGATAGTTTAAGGAATCCGGTGCTTAAACATTCTGCATTACAGCTTTTAAAACATTTGATCTTACAAACTTTATCTGTACTGAGATAATAATATACGACCTTGTCCATGGCAGTCTTGCGACTCATCTAGATATTTCACACCCTCGAGATGAGTTATTGTACCCCACTCAACTGCAGTGCCACTCCCACTCTCACTCAACCTCTCAGGAAGACTTAACGCCTTTTACAAGTCTTGAGAATGCCCTTTTAATCAAAGAACAGAATGTGTTAAGGCTATTCAAAAAGCAAAACTGTAAAAAGGCAGCAGGACCTGACTGTGTATCTCCAGCCACACTAAAACACTGTGCTGGCCAACTTATTCCAGTCTTTACAGATATTTTCAGTCAATCATTGTCCCAGTGCACAGTGCCAGACTGTTTCAAATCTTCTGTTATTTTTCCTGTTCCAAAAAAGGGCAAAATAACCTGCCTTAATGACTATGGACCCGTCGCACTAACTTTTGTACTTTTTGAGACATCTCAAGAAGCATGGCGTTGCGCAATCTATTCTCATACAGTTCTACAGAGCCATTATTGAAAGTGTGATTACTTCTTCTATCATCAACTGGTTTGGCTCTGCTACTACACAGTCCAATAAACAACTGCGGCGTATTATCAAGTGTGCTGAGAAAGTGATTGGCTGCAATCTTCCATCCCTCACCGTGCTTTACAAACCTAGAGCAGTGAATCGGGCAACCAAGATTATTGCAGATCCCTCCCACCCCTAGTCATCATTTATTTCAAAAGCTTCCCTCCGGAAAATGTTTTAAAGCAATCAAAACTAAAACCAACAGACACCTGGATAGTTTCTTTCCCAATGCCATATCCTTGCTTAACCAGCATCCTCCTCCAACAACTCCCTGTTTCAGCTGAAAAAACTTTGAACTATTATTACTGCTTAGTTCATACATCTTGTATATCTTGCGCTTAAGAACTGGTGCGTCATTCCTAACGTTTACATAGTTGCACCTTACTCCACAGACAGTACTGTCGCACATGGTCTGAACTTGCCATGTGTTTTGCATATACTATAATGTCTATTGTTTATATATTTTCACTGTACTGTAAAATGTGAGTGTGCCTGTGTCTTATATATATAGTGTATTGTCTACATGTTCCGTACCGTGAGCACATATTATGACGGTGTTGTGACACCCCCATCTTTTGTATATTGTCCAATGTAACTATGTCTGTAATGCTAATGCTCCTTTTGCAGCTGGGTTTTGTGGTGAGCAGGTTCCAAATGTACCCATGCAAATTCCTGTACCTGACACATACTGGCCAATAAAAGCGATTCTGATTCTAATGTTTTTTATAACTTTAGCTTTAGTACAACATTTGTACATTTGTACTGTATGTACCAACCTTTGTTCCTTGGTGCACTAACCTTCTCACTAGTACATTGAAGTCCAAATTATCACTTGTTGACATTTGTAGTAATTACACAACACATCATACACAGTTGAATTGATAATTATCCAGTTATAAAGAAAAAGATGGGGATTATTGGAGGCCATGATTGGTAATGGCCAGGATATAATTGGGCCTGGACACCATAGTAACACCCTTACTCTTTGAGAAATGCCAAGGTATTTTAATGACCATGGAGAGTCAGGACCTCTGTTTTACTTTAGCTTCATTGGTTTACCAGTAGTGAGTTCAGGATGATATAGCTCCTGGTTTAAAGACCAAGAGTTATCATTTTGTTTTTCAACTGTTTAAAAACATTCTTTATATGCAATTTTACCAGATCACTGATTATTATATATTTGAAAGTTGAAAAAGTCAGTATACCGAAGAACAAATGCTAACCTATAAATACTTTTTGGAATTCTTTATATGGGTCAACAGTACATTAAGCTTAAGAACTCCAGTGTGTTTCTCCTTTGTATGAATGAGTTATAACGGTTTATAATATTAATGATAGATATAGATAAATAGATTATTCATAAACTGCTGTAAAAGACACCTAAAGTGTTAAAGCATCAGTGCTATGTTTCAGTTTATTTGGAGTATGAGCCTTATAATTAAATCTCTTAGATCTGTTGGTCTTTTAAAACCACTCTTGGTGCCTCTCAAAAAGATGAGAAATATTTTCTCCACTGAATGAATATTTCAGTGCTCATTTAAAACCTTTCAGAATTGCTCAGCAAGTGTATGACATTAAATCGTAAACACTGTTGAAAACATCTTTTTGTGCTACAGTAACATTAGATTCATATTTTCAAACTGCCATAACCACTGCTGAATCGATCCAAATATTTTTAAAACCTCTTTGCAAGAAGTGCTTTTTTAGATTAGTCATCATCTTTTTTTTTTTTCGGTCCTTTTGATTTACAAAAATGGACTGCTGCAGTTAGTCACATTTATTTGAAGGCAGTGGATCATAACTGTTGGATGACACCACATTTGTGTTATCTGTAAGTTAAGGCCTAAAGATTCTGTGATTGCACATATCTAGATTGCTGTCACTTTTTCCTTTGTTTGTCACATACTTGAAGTAAATTGATTAATGTTTGCAATGAAGGTCCATTAGAAAACAATAAAAAGATGTATGATCCTGTATTTTGTATTCATTATGGGTACCAGAAGATTTTCTTCTGTTAAAACTATGTATTGTGTATTAATTCAGTGAAGGAAAACTAGGGGAAGTTTCCCAAATTGCTGTCACTGCTGAACAAATCATTTGACTGCTTCCTGAAAAAGCAAGAGTTTTTCAAATGTGGAACCAAGATGAACTGTTGGCATCATTCAGTTTTATGACATGCTTCTCTGGAACTGAGTATTTTACTACACTTCGGAAATGCTGGATTTTCAGTTTTCTTTACCCATTAAGAAAATTACAATTTAACCTAATTTAGTTTTTAATAAAATAGTACACAAGCACCTTGCTAATGAAATTTAGGATTGCTGGGTATATAATTATTTTTTAATTTGAATACTGCCACATGAGGAAAAAAGGTTAAAGCCTTATAGGAAAAAGCTGCTGTTAATCTTTTATAGTGTAGGAATCCTTCCATGCATACAAACATCTCAGAGATTTAAGAATGTTTTTTTAGGAAAAAGCATTTGTTTTTAAACAGCAGTATAAAACATTCCCACATTTGTATTTGTGTATTCTGACTAGATTTCTCTGCTAAATAAAATTGATTGAAACAGTGCACCCAATCTGATTGTATATTGTATATCTGCATTTATAGATGCAATTTAATTGCCTCATTAAAATGTTTATGTTCTGGAACATTAATTCATGAGGTCAGAGTTTATTTCACAAGTTAGGTTTTGCCATTTAAGTATTTTAAAAACGTGTTTGGCACAATATACCTCTTTTTATTAGAGACATTTAAAACATTTGATCTGTTTACTGTAAATGATTAGCATCAAAAGCTAATTCTAGCGTTTTTTGTGTTAGTCAAATATCTTACATTTCTTTAACTTCACAAATTTTCATTATGGATATTAAATAGATCATGACAATGATTTCCATATATAAACTCAACTGCTTTCTGCAAACCTTCAATCTACAAATTGTTATTCATTGTCTTCAAAATAAGGCTGTTTAAATGAAATGTGATCCTTAAAAATGTGTTTTAGATTAAAAAAAAAATTTAGAAGTGGTAGGTTGAAGCTTTGTGTTATAATTAAGTGGAAGTTCCTTGAATTTAGCTCAGCGGGTATTTAAATAGGCAGCATACCTTGTACAGTACAACTCTTAATGATACAGACTAAGTTAAGAGTTTATGTGCAACAAATTCAAACAGCAAAGGTCATGGCGTGCTGGGACTTGACCTCTCTAAAAGGCTTTTTTAATCCAGTCTGTGCTTGTAATGTATATTATAGGGAATGGGAATACCCTCAGTAAATCATCAAATCATGCTGGCTGAAGGACTAAAGTAATAAAGGTATGAACAAACATAATCTTTTTTTATCTGTTATCTGTTCAAATGTAATGGGCCCAGAATGTGCTTAGGCTGTTAAATTAGCTTAAAGTACAAATGAAAGAACTGCTATGATATTTTTCTTAAAATGTTAAAAATTCCCAGTTTCAAAATGTTGATTTGAAACCAGGTTGTTCAAAAAGGTCTACGGTGGCCTCCAGCAAGGTGCTGTGCTCTGTTGTGTTGACAGTTCTCTCTTTCTGTGTGTGGGTACTGTGGCAAGGCGAAGGGAGAGCTTAGGAGCTCCCTCCTGCAGGATAAACAGAGATTCTACTGCATTGGCAACATGATCATGAAGGTGAGGCACGCGCCAGCGACCCTTCCTGCAGTGCAACCTGCATCAGTAATGTAAAATGAGCCCGAGGATTCAGGAATGGCAACTCATCAGCCATGACACCAACTATCCCACTTCACGCAATCGCAGCAATCTGTCCATGGAAACCAATCCATTAAAAGGCAATACAAAGTATTGTACTGTCACTACACCCAGACCTGCTGACAACAAGGATCTCTTCAGGCTGTAATCTGTGCATGATTAATCACAATTTTAATCCAGCACTTGGAAGCAAATACACAGAGAGGTTTGTGAGAGCTGGAGGCGTGGGAGGCTGTGGGCGTGAAGCAGTGTTTTCTAATTCTTTAACTCGTATTTTATCCCTCCCACCTGGTGTCAATGTATCTGTTAACTTGCCTTTCTCTCTTTTCTCTTCCTCCCACTCTGCCTCTCTCTGACCCTTTATTTCTGAGCTGTTTGGCAGATTTAGTGGATAGAATGAACGCTTGCTTGTCTAATGGAGCACACTGCTGGTGGCTGGCGATCTCTTCTTCAGCGAGAAAGCTAAGGTCAAAGAACTGAGGTAACCATGACAGTATTTTCCTTATGAAGGATTCATCTACAGCACAGGATAGAAAGGCAGCTGTCCTCCCATCAGACACTTATGTATTTAAGTCTCCCATGCCAAATTAAACATCTTTTACATTTGTAACAATCCATTTTGTAGAAATACTTTCAAAAATAGTTGGCAAAAATGGTCCATGTGTCCTTGTGTTAATAGCAAAAATGTTATTTTTTTGTTATAATCAAGCCATTTGAATCTATGATCATGATAGAAATTTGAATGTACATGTAGCCAACAGCCATATCACCCTGCAGCTCTCAACTGGCTACCTCCCTAAAACTAAGCAGGGTTGAGCCTGGTCAGTAACTGGATGGGAGACCTCCTGGGAAGCTATGGTTGCTGCTGGAAGTGGTGTTAGTGGGACCAGTGGGGGGCGCCCACCCTGTGGTCTGTGTGGGTCCTAATGCCCCAGTACATTGGCAGGGACACTATACTGTGTCCCTGCCAATGGGTGGGTGCCACCTTTTGGATGAAAAAACCGAGGTCCTGACTCTCATTGGTCATTTAAGATCCCTGGGCATTTCTCAACAAGAGTACGGTGGTGTTCGGGTGAAATTTCCCTCCAAATTGTCCCCATGTATGATTGGCTTGCACTTGCCCTGCGATGGACTGGCACCCCATCCGGGGTGTACCCTGCCTTGTGCTCATTGCTTGCTGGGTAGGGTCTGGCTTCCCGCGACACTGTATGGTATAAAGTGGTTTGGCAAATGACATGACATAATATACATGTTATTTAGTTCCATTCATGAATTTGATCATAAAAAAAACATGAAGAAAGACACCTGAAGAAGGCTCCACGGCCGAAACGTTGTGTTCTCTTTCTTCTTTTTTTCAGCATGGAATAAACCTATTACTTGTTCCATAACAAAAACATACTTTGTGTTCAACACAGTGATTTCAAGTGAACATGGATATTGGAAAGCATTCACTTTAAGTATGTTTTTGAGTGTAAAAATCAGTATTTGGTTGCATATCCTTTTGAGTTGCATGATATAGTTACATAGAAGAAAATTTATTTGGTGGCACTTTTTCATGCAACATACTGTACAACTGATGCAACCAAAGGGGTGTTCAGAGAAGTAGAGAAGAAAAGTGGAAAGTTTGGTGAGCTCAGTGGGCTCCAGACATCATGTAGTTATTGACTGCAAATAACAAATCCGGGATTGCATTGCAATTGCATTGTATAGCCTTTGCCGTCTCGAATTATTTGTAGGACACTGTAATACCATCTGTCTATGCCTCTCTAACTCTTTATACCTACAATATCTCTATCCATATTAGGAGATTTGGGTTATTAAACAGACGGTACTTTGAATGTTATAACAAGTCTTATGAAAGGTCATTTGTAGGCTAAAGTCTTAGTTACGGACTTGGTAGGAATTCCTGTTACTTTTAAAATGCTTTTCCTCTTTTACTATTGTTTCACTGGTCTATTGAAGAAAAAATCTAACAACTCTGGTATATTGGAACTCTGGTAGTCCCCTCTTGTTTACTTGGTTATTTCAGCAGCTATCTGAGAACTGAGAACAATCTGTCATGACATTTCTTGGAGATTCTGAGAGGACGACTGGTGACTCCACTGAAGTTTTGTGGATGGTAGTAGGAGGACACTTTAAAACATTTTTAGAATCTTAAGCCTAGAGTTTAAGGATATCATTTATAAAAATGTAATTTTATTATAATTCTGACTGATGTGACAGTAAATTTATAAAGCAAGATGTATTTGCATATGACTAGTTTGAATAGTAACCCAATCCGTATTTTTATTGTTGCAATTTTTTCACTTTTTCACTGCCCCTACACATAAAAGACTTGTGGAGGGCTATCGATAATTTGAACAATTTGATAAATCTCAAATTGGAACTGAAGGGAAAGAGATTCATGTATTTTCATTTTCTTGTATTTTCTGAAAACAGTATGAAAACTATTTGTTTCAGAAACAGCTGTGTGGTTTATTTATGCACCATACATATTTTATCTTAACTTAAGTTCCTTAGTACATGCATTATAATTTGTTTAAACTCAAGTGAAATGTAATTTACCAATCTTTTATTTGAAGCTGAGTGTAAGGGAAGCATTTTCACTTCAGAGACACAGAATCCTATATCCACAGGCAGCAGTTTCAACCACTGGTATATCTCTCCAAACCAAAAGTTCTGATGCCAGAAGATACTTATGTTGCCTGAGCCTTTATCGTGAATGCACAGAACAAAATGCTTCATTTGTTAGTTTAAAGTAATTTTTGTTGTGCTAAAAAATGCAAAAATGATTAAACACATTAAATCTCAATACAATATCATGAGGCGACATCTGTTTTTTCAAAGACTGTCTGGTTTAAATCTGCATTTGATATGTCTGCCAGTGTTTTCACTGTGTCACCTATTGTGAGTGTGAGGTTGATTCTAAAACTTAATTAATAGATATTAACAATATATTTTCTCCAGATGACATACTGAAAGGCTTCATTGTTATACTACATTTGAAATGAGAAAGGAGAATGTTTCAAAGCAATTCACTTTCTCAGAATCTGAAAAGGTATTTTATTCTAATCCACCTTAAACTACTTATAACACTAATATTTATTTAATTTTTTTCCTTTTTTTTCTAATTGTGAATAATACCAGATTTGTTGGTTTTACATTTTAACAGGTGTGGTGAACACAACCGAGCTCAAAGAAAGAAAGCGTAATGAAGACAATTGTACCTACCCCAAGGTATGAGAAAAAAGGAAATAAACCTTAAATGTGAATGCCTGTGATTGAAAATGGGGCAAATTGCTGTCATGTCCTTGGACTGGACCACGAGTCCTAAAATACAGGGATTATGCACGGCTAATAGTGACAGACACGTGTGACCTTTCACGAATCTTATTTGATTGAGAAAAGGCCTTTAAAATTTAACAATGGATAAAATTTTGACCCAAGACAATTTACAGATTGATTCACGAAGTTGGTATGAAGTCCAGAAGATCTCTATATCCAGAAACATGAGATAACGTACATCTCGTTAGGTGGATCATCATGGATTGGACAACCCTGGTTCTCTTAACTGTCAACTGTCCTTCTGTTCACAAGTCCTTATACTGAGAGTGTACTTTCCAGTAAGAGTCCGTTCAAGGATTTTTTATAAATCACTTTTCTTATTTTCTTATAATTTAATGTATACAGTATAGCAGTACCTATAAATAACCAAAATGAGCTTTTCCATAAATGTTGTAGCATACAAATCCTGTATTGAGCATCCTTGACATAAAGCATACTGTATGTGTGTTAGACAAGGCAACTTTCCTGTTCTTTAAGTGAATTGAATAGGTACAGTATTTGTAAATTTAGTAAAATAGCGGCATGAGCTATTGGTTATCGCTGCAAAGTAAGATGAATGGTAACTGGACAAGTAATAGGTTTATTCCATGCTAAAAAGAGAAGAAAACACAATGTTTCAGCCATGGAGTTTTCTTCAGGTGTCAATGGTATCTGAATGGTAACTGGGTTTGTTCAAATGTACTGCTATTTACTGCATTTACCATTTACTGTATTACAACCGATGTAATGAGTAAATGGCTCCCAGTGTTGTAAAACTAGAGGTGGTATTATTAATCATAGAAAATATAAAAGCAGTATTAAATTACAGTTGCCTTGCAAAAGCATTTTGCCACTTTTTGCCCCTTTATTTGCCCTAGAGTAAAATATGTTAATTGCATAAGTATTCACTTCCTAAATCATCAGGAGGAAGAAGAACCTTTGACAGCAATTACAGCTGTGAGACTTTTGGGATAGGTTTGTGCCAGCTTTGCACACTATTGTGGTGAAATTGTTGTCCACCTTTCTTTACTAATTTGCACAAACTCTGTCAAGATGGTTGGGGATTGTTGATGGACAGAAATACAAATCTGCTCAGTTTGAGCTTTTTTATTAACTTTTGATGGCGAATATTGACTAAAAAATGTGTATCCATCGTATGTAATTCAACAAAACGAGATATCATTACAAGGGGTGAGTACTTTTTCAAGCCACTGTAAACCTCTGAGTCAGAGAAGTGTTTTCTCTGTTTTCATTCTGTTAACAACCAGGTACAGTTTTTGTCATCAATACTGTTGTATATTGTGGTTTATTTAGTCACTGATGATACATACTCTTGCTAATTAATGTGGAATATTTAGTGACAAATTAGTTTATCTGTTCACAAGTAATAAGGACTGTTACAAATAAGTGATACAAATTATTGAACTTTTAAGTAACCATGCAGTCTTTAGGTTTATCAGAACTGAATCCATTTTTATGCACATAACAGGGAGGTACATGTCAATGTATTTCAGAAATGAACGCTGCGGCTGATTATGTCAAACTGCCAAAAATTATGTATGCAGTCCACAATAAATGCACCTGGAAATTATGCTGCATTATGCAAAATACATTTCCCCTATGTGTGTTGCACAAGGAACAGTGTGAGCTCAGGAGGATTTACGGCTCTGAACAGTTCATATAGCTTTTGTCTGATACTAAAATACTTTAGTCTTTGTTCTACTAGTAAATACTTTGTTTGCACTTTTACATACTGTATATCTGACCTTTCATGAGAGTAAGACAGTACCAGTTTTCCCCTGTTGTCAGTTGCGTTGGTAAGGCTTCTGGAAGGTTCTGCAGTCTGCAGCAAACCAGTGAATAAACTCTTTAATAACAGAAAAAAACTGTGACAGCCTCTGCTTCCAGATTGTGCCAGTGGAGGATCTGCATCACAGTACCTTTCAAACTGAAAAAAGAAAATGCCTGTTTTTTTAAATAAGTACGTAACAGTTCTCTCAGCCTTCTTAAATTTATTAACCATCAGAGCATCAAATCTCTGTTATGCTTTAGCCAGTTACTGGATGGGTATTCTGCAGGACATTTCTGAGCTGTCTCATAGACCTACAATCTGAAAGCACATTGCTATGATTTATAAGGCAAAAGAAAGCACCAAAATTCTTAAGTGGCCAGAGCTACTGTATGCCTTCCAAAATCAGAAGGTTCCGTATGTGCTGTAGGTATTCACTTTATTATGTTTCTGTATGCACATGCACAGTATGTTTTGCATATGTGTTTTGTGTGTTATCTACTTTTTCTTTATTTTGAGCATTTTGGTACTTAGCTAAACATAAAATACAACAAATTACAGACTGGTACCTTCTGCAGCTCCCAGATTTCCATCTCTTTGCTGTTTTCACACCTTAGCCATTCTCATAATTTATTTAATCCTCCATACCTTCCTTCACCTCTCTCTACACATGAAGAAAGCTCCACTGCCTAAACACTGCTTTCTTTCTACTTGTCAGTGCTGATCTGTAGCCTGTAGTCTATAACCTTTACTTGTATCTTTGCTGCTCTCAGTCTGCTGCAGCTTCCCACTTGAACCTTTCTACAGGCATAAATACAGATCCCAACCACAATTTCCTGTGATTTAATTGTGACCCCTGCTTGAAGATTTACAGACTGTTCTTTTGTTTAACACATGGAACTCTGCTGTGCCTGGAGATAGAGAAGAATGCTGTGTGCCTGGCACACTGCTCAATAGCATTTACAGTCTGTGACTCTTTTTTTGTTTATTTTCTGTTTTTACATAGTAGTAGCCAGTATGTACATAGGAATATAGGAGAGTTTGCAAATGAGATGGTAGTGAGGGTTCAAGCTCACAGTTAGTAGAGAAAAATGTATTGACTTTCTGTACCATACAGTAGTTCAATGTTAACTGTTTTAGTTTAATGGGTTGTATAAGAAGAACAATGTTTCAGTTCTTGATAAATGTAGATTTTTTAGATTTAGAACTTGTGGTATGTATAGAATGCGTAAACAATTTTGATATCCTGTTTTCGAAATTTGCCTTTAAAAACTTTAATGCCTCTTTACTTAGTATTATTGATATTTTTGCCATACATTGAATTGTAGAGGTATTCAATGCAATTAAGTTTATCTGAAGCGTTATGAAAAAATGGTTTTGAAATTTAAAAGGAGCAAACCTTATTTGACTTGTGGCAGTACTGAAAAGGTCTTTGGAAAACCCTAAAACTACTTTGATTAAACTGTTACTTTATAAATATATTATGTGTCTGCTGTTGCCGCCACATGAGCAGTTTCTCAGAACGACAGGTCTGCTTTTTTCCCTTCAAGAATAATACAACACATGAGGTACATCAGGCAGTGTCTGGAAGCTGCATTCTTTCAAGACTCACAAATGTCATCTGTCCACTGTAATTCTTGAGCCAGCTAAAATTTTGAATGGATTACGATTTCTAATCAGATTCTATATATACTGTAAGACAATAATTAAAATATAATCATATGTATAAAGTGTATAAGAGTCTGTGAAACTGACAGATGAATGCTAATATATATTTTCATATCTGCTGTAAAAGGAAATAACTTAATCTACAAATAGAAGCATATAAAGTGCAACTGTTTTCTGTTTAAACTGTTCAATTAATTAGCGACCTTCATCCTATACGTAACAATACATAATTTAGATCATTAAGACATCTCAGGAGCTCCTGTAAAAATACACAGCTGCTACAGATGAGGCTCCACTGTTATTGTGTATCTCATTGCTTTTTCATTTGGATTTAACATTCAGTTCATAATGGTTAAAACTAGAGAAGTAATTCTAATACACTTATGTAACCTCTTAAATATTTCCCTGAATGTTGCCAAGACAGCTGCAGTGTACTTTCAATTGCACAAGGTTTTTTAGTTGTGATTTTTCTCAGTCTTTTGGAAACACAAATGCACCTTCACACTGCAATTTAGAAGTGCTGTGGATTAATACCTACACTTAAATTAAGACGGGAGTCTTTGCCTTGTGGGTACAACATGTTCCTTTCTCTAAGTACCTGGGTGGCGTTGTACACATCACAGATCAGACAGTCTCAGTAAGGTGGTATAATTGTGATAACATGTTTTTATCAAAACATTCAGGATCACAGTCATTTATGATCAAATAGCAATTTAAATTTAAAAAGGCTAGAGGTTATGCTTGCATATTAATGACAGTGTTTGCGTCTGTCATGCCGTGCTGCATTTCATACAGAGCCCCGATTCTAAAAATAATTGAAGGCCAGCAGTTGAACAGTTAAAATCCCCAGCTGTGTAGAGAGAGAGTGTGTGTGAGAGAACTACAGTACAGTGTAATAGAAATGCTCAGCAACATTTAGCAGGAGGGCTGCAGCTAGCGACAATTAATACCATGTTAGAAGGCAGGGGGGAGAATAAAGGAAGAGAATGGATATAAACTCAAAGGTGGAGGAGATTTAATTTAAGTGTCCTGAGCTGAAAGGCCTGGATCTTATTAAGGGTAAATAAGACTAGCTTGCCAGTGGAGCTGTGTGTGTGTGAGCATACGCTTGTTAGTGTGTGCGGCATCTGTGACTCCGAGTGTGTGTTTCTGAGGGAGACAGAGGGAGAGAGAGAGCAAAACCACTCTATCCACATACAACCGACAGGGGCTCTTGAGCTCAGCCTTCAATAAAGCTCAGTCTTAAGGTCTGCAATCTCTATAATGTCGCAGATGCAGCCCCGCTTCTGAGGATCCTGAGGAGTCTCTCAGGGCCTTTATCTGCGGCTGCTTCATTTCCTCTGCTCTTCCGACTCGCCCAGCCTCAGCCCCTCTCTCCTCACTCTTTCTCTCCACTTCAGAAGACGGCATCTCCTCGCCTGCCCCTCTCGAGCAGCAGCAGCAGCAGCAGCCGCCGCGATGGATGGACTTCGGCTGCCGCCTGTGATTGAAGAGGTTGGGGACCCTGCAGGTTGGTGATCAGCTTTTCTGCTCCCTTTGCCATCTGGCTAATGGAGGTCTGTCTAATTAGCAGAGCAGAGAGAATGAGAGGAATTTATGAGGCACAGCTGAGGACAGGAGCTGAAATGAGTCTAGGTCTGCTGTTCTTTTCAGTTCAGCGATATGTCGGGATTTTACTTTATAGATGCTGCCGAAATTAATTACAGTTATTTGCTTTGCTTCAGCTATTATATCAAAATTATAGGTCATATGTTTTGAAAAAAAAATGTAATCTTTATCTTGATTGTAGATATTGTTGATATTGCAGTAGTTCCCTCTTTTGTTTCTTCTGAATGTTAGTATAACATTTCTGTGATGCTGCCTCTTTTAGTTTCTCTCTGGGGACAGAGCATTACAGATTCAGGTGAACATCTCTTTATAGTGTCACAATCCACAGGTAGCATTCTGCTTGGTGGGATGAGGTAGTGATCAAAAACTCTGATTTATTTCATCTATCAATGCACAAGATGTCTGTGAGAAGCTTTCATAGACGTGAAAAATTTACTCATGCTGACAAAAAATGAATCCTATTTTTCCAAGATAAATGAAAGAGCAAATGCCCTAGAGTTTAATGTGCAATTCATAACATCCTAAAAAGAGAAAATACATGTATTAATCATGTCAAGGCATTTAATAATTAAAAACCCTTTATGGACATATATTGTGAGAAAATTACTGAGTGCGCATTAAAAGAAAGTCTTGACCTCCAATCATGACGCTCCATGTCTATACTTTTTAGCAGAAAAGAGATGTGGCCATCTAATAAGGAGGTATATCGAACAGTAGCACCATATACTGTACTACCGTTTTAAATTTCACCCCTCTGTGATATATCAATGTCATGTTCATTTTGTTAGAAGTAATTAAACTTCTTATTTTTTATTGAAATAAAACAATAAACAACGTCACTATTTTGATGTAATATTTAAATGACCCATTAAAAAAAACAGATTATTGCTTCTGCAATAACTGCAGCATTGTTTTTTTTACATCAGTTTTTTTAATTACAAATATTTTAGATGTTTAGACTACTAAATTTTCCCTGCAAGTAAAGATGTAAACCTTATTGTTTTATCACCTTTTTAGAAGCAGTCGTGGGATGTTCCCTATAATTACATGGGAAAGGCATTTTTAATGCAGGAATATTTATAATGTGTCTAATTTCTGAAATTTTCAGACTTTTTCACAACTTATCCAATTAATTTAATAATAAAATGATTTCCTCTATTCCAGCGAAATTCCCAACTGCTTTTCTCACACTAACACAAATGCCCCTTATTGTCCTAGACATTTGTTTCAGATTGCGTTCCACACCCACCCCTGTAAAATAGTCTATAGTCCCTAAAGAACCCACAAGTATCTCCCATTGATGGATACTGATGGATACCACCCTAGTGCCTGGTTGAAAGTGTGCTGCAACATAGGCTTTGCTTATTTCTGACACTGATGTTGTAGTTTAAGCTAAGCTTAAATGCTTTATCATCTATGGTATTTTTTACACTGACTTTGTACCGTAACAATCATAGATCACCGTGGAGACACCTCAGTGACACAAACTGGCAGGTTTTCTGGGTGCCTTTAAATCACCACATGTGTTAAACCTGGAAATGAAGCTCGAATGTGTTCACCTTAGCCAATAATTGGTTTAATTGAAAGGTAAGGTGGAACACAATGCAGAAGTCTCTGCTGACACCAGCCACTAACAAAGAGCTTTTAACACAGCTAATTACCTTATGTCTTAACTTAAAAAATTTGACGTAGTGTTACAAGTGTTACATTGATTTAAAGTAGACTTTTCTTTCACTCCTGATTATTAGCTCTTACTTTCATCATCTTTTGTGTTACATCTCAATGATGGGCAGTGGAAACACTCCAATCTCTCACCTGGGTAACTCAATCTTGTATTATCGGTTCAGGTGGGTAGCTGCGTCAGCATGCATAGGCTGCAAAGGAACAAGTAATAGGTTTATTCCATGCTGAAAAGAGAGGAAAGAAAATGCAACATTTCGGCCTTGGAGCCTTCTTCAGGTGTGAGGTCACACCTAAAGAAAGATCCATGGCCGAAACGTTGTGTTTTCTTTCTTCTCTTTTCAGCATGGAATAAACCTATTACTTTTTCCCTTGTATTATCAGTGTTCAACAACAATAGATTTTCTTATGCCCTTGGCATTCATGGCAAGGAAAGAGCGTAAGTCCATATCAGTTTCCTGGAACTGCCAATATGTGATGGAATAAGAAGAATTTCACATTACTCCTTTCCAAACTGGCATCGTGTGCATTGAATCGAAACTCTGCAGAAGTGATTAGTCTCAGTCTTTACACCTTAGCCTGACAGACTACCCTTATATATTCCAATAAGCCAACATTTGAAATAAATACTGCTTGATTCCCAGTAGCAAATCTAACACATAATAATGTTTTTCCATCTTTTTAATGTACCATATGATCTGTTAAATTGCATTTTAATTTATTCTTCAAGAAAACATGAGCTCATCATTTATTCTTGCTGGAACAACTTCTGTAAAGCAGACGCTTCTTATCTGAGTTTCTGTTGTCAGGTCTAATCTAAAGGGATTAAACTTGAAAACAACATACTGAACTAAATGAATAATGCTGCTTTTTTTTACCTCTATAGTGAGAGACTATTTTCCATTGAGAGTGTGCACTCTGTTTCCATGTCAAAAACTGATCAAAGTAAGCTCTTATAAAAGGTTGTTTTTTTGTTTAACTTGAGCTACATTATTTTTTAGGCTAAAAATGCTGTGTTTTAATGATGGTGAGTTTAATGATGGTGAGTTTAGCACAAATTTATTTTTTATGAATGCACAAAAGGCACAATTTCTGTCTTAACATTAACAAGCCTAATCCACTTGGGAACCCGTCTCCATAGCGATTATAAGCATTATAAACATAGAAGTGTATTGCAAATGCTTTCAAGGGCTTTCAATATTTCCTTTTGAAAGCGTTACAAAAAGAAAAAAACAATTTATGGTGTTTTTTTACTTTCACATTATGACAAGCATCCACTTTATTGTGGAATAACAGCGACAATGCAATTCTTGTAATACTGTAACTACTTGAAAGCAGAACGAGGAAGAGACATTGAATAATTCATGCCCTCCCACATTGCAAAATAGATCCAAGGCACACAGGCTTTAATTCTGCATTCAAGGAGGGAGCCTAGTGCAGTGGCAGGCTCACAGCAATCGAATCATATGAGACCTTTGGTATAATTTGCTCTACAATTAAAATATGTTGATGTTTAAAAATAAGATTTATTTATTTGGCATAGTAGTTGGTAAATACATCCATTGTGTAATTGTTTTTTCATGTTATTGCCTTAATACTGTTTTGTGCTGCATGACTGACTGCATGCCCGAACCAATTTGTTAGCATATACCACTGTAATAAAGGCCATTACATGGTAGTGTGTGTTTTAACAGCATTAATTTGACCACAGATGCAACAGATGGTATCACTGACCTAGGTTCTACTGACATTTAGTTGTTTTAAAAATAAATAGTCTCCTATAATGCAGCCTGATTATTAATCTAGCCAGAAACAAACACATCCAAACCTATTGTGTAATTAGATAAAGTTTTCAGTCATTACAGTAATTTTTTTAACATAGTTGCATAGGCCTCACGGATTGAGATTAATCTCTTCTCCTGCATCATATATGGTTATGGTGATATCTGCCTCTGTTCAGCATTTCCTTTCTATCAAAGCTTTCGAGTAATGAGAAACCAGATGTTGTTCTGGACATCCTGCTGAGCTTCTGACTGTATAGACTGAAATTCAGAGCTGGAGCAAGGTGTTGTTGTTAGGAAGAAGGGATATGTCTTTGGGACACTTTAGCATGTTAGCACATGACCTGTTTTTGTTCAGAATCTGTGACTAGAAAGCTATTAGATCCACACTGGATAGATTGGGCCCACTACAGCTCGCACATAGTGAAGGGGCTGCGAAAACTAATGAGTTTTACATACAGTAAGGTCCTACTTCTCCTTTATTAATAGGTGATCATCAAAACGGTTCTGTCCACCAACTGTACACCCAATTATTTCGGTATGAGTAGTTATAATGCCAAGGATTGTTTTTGCATTGCATATTTTTGTGTACTGCATTATGTTCAAAACCATAGAAACCTACACAGTATGTACATGGCATCTGTCTTCTATTATAAACCTTCAATAATTGTGGCTTTACTTAAAGCATTAATGATGTGCACCCCCAAATTTTCTGCATGAAGTTATAGAGGGAGGAGCCTATAGTAAAGATACTGATAACTGCTACTGTACAGTATATGGAGTACAACAGGGACTATCTCATATTAGAAACAAAACCTTTAAAAATATCAAAAGGCTTAAAAATTCCTGTACTTATGTATTCCAGTGAATTCTATGCCTTGAAGTAAAGATTAATAAACAAAAGAGAGCCTGTGCTGCGATTTAGTGTTCTGGTTACATTTGAAGCTTACAGCACAAAGCAGTGAAAAACCTAACACTGACATAAAAAATCCTGGCTCGTTGAAAAGGTGGTAAACTGCAGCACTGGTTTATATCATTTGGCTTTAAGTGTTATTTAAAAAAATCATCACTCTTTGGTTGCTAGGTTACACCTAAAAATTGGAAACTGCTGAAGTTAACCTCATTTCTAAACTCCTAGCTGCAATGCAGATAGTGGAAAGTATGTGCAGGAGCCTTTATGACATGTAGAATTGCAATCATCCCCTCAGGTAAACTGAAAGGGCAGAGAAATACTGTAGGTTAAATGTTGTCTTGTTGGTTTTAGTCCATTTGAACCGGACATGGAGTGAGCTGCATTTATTTCCTTTCGCTTTTGAAAGGCTCCAGTTAACATATAGTTTGTCCACCTTATATAATTCTATACCAAGATTTGTTGGAAACCAGAGAAGGTAGAGTTAAAAGGCTTGTCTTAAATATCAACTATTGGAAACAACCTTTGTAA